AATGACTGATGAAACACTGTGTCCTGGGAGTGCCTTTTCCTCCTGAGTACTGTAGGTCCTGTTTGGCATTTTCTTCCAGAACAGGCCTTATCACACTGTGTATGCCACTACGATTCTTAAAACTCTCAAACCAACCTTTGCTGGCTTTAAATTCACCAATATGAGCACTAGTTCCAGGCATTTTTCCCTGTTCACCTGGGTGTTAGTCGACTTGTGTTGGTTGCATCCTGGGAGACAAGATTAAGGACCCCAATGGAAATAAGTTAGACAGTCTTCGATGACACTGACTTTTTTGGGTTATCCTGGGTGGCAAATCCTCTGGGGTTAATTGTTTCTTGGTATTCTCAATAAGCCACACCAACAACGGTGCTACAGCAGCAGCAGCAGCTGACGGTGGTACAGCAGCAACAGACGATGCTACAGCAGCAGCAGACGATGCTTCAGCAGCAACAGACGATGTTACAGCAGCAGCAGACGATGCTACAGCAGCAGCAGACGATGCTACAGCAGCAGCAGCAGCAGACGATGCTACAGCAGCAGCAGACGATGCTACAGCAGCAGCAGACGATGCTACAGCAGCAACAGACGATGTTACAGAAGCAGCAGACGATGCTACAGCAGCAGCAGCAGCAGACGATGCTACAGCAGCAGCAGATGATGATACAGCAGCAGCAGCAGCAGCCGACAGTGCAGCAGCAGCAGCAACTGTACCACCAATAGTAGCGATGGTTGATTGGGGTTTATTATACAACCTGGCCAGCTCGGAGACGCGCACTCCACTTTCATACTTATCAATGATCTTTTTCTTCATCTCTATTGTAATTATCACCCTTATTGCTGTAGGGTTGGCACTAGAAGCTTTCTTGGGGCCCATGGTCACTTATTTTCCAGAAAAAGCACCGAAAACACTGTAATAATACGAAATATTCCGATTGTATGCTTGGATGTTACCGCGGAGGCTGGCTGGTAAACAATGCCACTGGCGGCACATGTGAGGCTGGCTAAGGGCGCACATTGGACGCGTCTCGGACGAAAATCGGTGAGCGGGTTTTTAAGCGGTATGCGAGGCAAAATTTTTGCGATTAAAGCAAGCGGTATGCGGATTAATCATTATGTGATGCCAACGGTATGCGGGGGTCCACTGTATTACTTATGGGAACAAATTCAGTCAGTACTGGCACCTGAACATACTTCTGGAATGAAATAATATCATAAACCAGGGGCCCACTGTATAATGGTACTGGGTTTATGTCAACCATCTTTGATATTGCTTTAATGTCACCTTTGCACCATTTATAACATTTTTAGTATATTTTTAAATGTTTATACAGTAGTGTATTGTAATACACAGAATAGAGGAAATCAGCTCTAATATACATTATTTAGGTATGCATACTGGTCAGAGACCTAATCGTAAGTCAGTGTCGTTGGTAATTAAGTACGTCGCTAAGCGAGGAGAGGCTGTATACAGTGGACCCCCGCATAACGATGGCATCACATAGCGATTAATCCGCATACCGCTTGCTTTAATCGCAAAAATTTTGCCGCACATACCGCTTGAAAACCCGCTCACCGATTTTCGTCCGAGACGCGTCCAATGTGCGCCCTCAGCCAGCCTCACATGTGCCGCCCGTGCCATTGTTTACCAGCCAGCCTCCGCGGTAACATCCAAGCATACAATCGGAATATTTCGTATTATTACAGTGTTTTCGGTGCTGTTTCTGGAAAATAAGTGACCATGGGCCCCAAGAAAGCTTCTAGTGCCAACCGTACACCAATAAGGGTGAGAATTCCAATAGAAATGAAGAAAGAGATCATTGATAAGTATGAAAGTGGAGTGCGTATCGCCGACCTGGTCAGGTTGTACAAGAAACCCCAATCAACCATCGCTACTATTGTGGGCACCAGAAAGGCAATCAAGGAAGCTGTTCTTGCCAAAGGTTTAACTGTGTTTTCGAAACAAAGATCGCAAGTGATGGAAGATGTTGAGAGACTCTTATTGGTGTGGATAAATGAAAAACAGCTAGCAGGAGATAGCGTCTCTCAAGCGATCATATGTGAAAAGGCTAGGAAGTTGCATCAGGATTTAATTAAAAAAATGCCTGCAACTAGTGATGATGTGAGTGAATTTAAGGCCAGCAAAGGTTGGTTTGAGAGATTTAAGAAGCGTAGTGGCATACATAGTGTGATAAGGCATGGTGAGGCTGCCAGTTCGGACCACAAAGCGGCTGAAAAATATGTGCATGAATGCAAGGAGTACATAGACAGTGAAGGACTGAAACCTGAACAAGTGTTTAATTGTGATGAAACAGGCCTGTTTTGGAAGAAAATGCCAAGCAGGACCTACATTACTCAGGAGGAAAAGGCACTCCCAGGACATAAGCCTATGAAAGACAGGCTTACTTTGTTGATGTGTGCCAATGCTAGTGGTGATTGCAAAGTTAAGCCTTTATTAGTGTATCACTCTGAAACTCCCAGAGCGTTCAGGCAAAAGAATGTCCTCAAGGATAATTTGTGTGTGCTGTGGAGGGCAAACAGTAAGGCATGGGTCACTAGGGACTTTTTCTATAACTGGTTACACCATGCATTTGCCCCCAATGTGAAAGATTACCTAACTGAAAAGAAATTAGAACTTAAGTGCCTCCTGGTGTTAGACAATGCCCCTGGTCATCCTACAGACGTGGCAGAGCGACTTTATGGGGACATGAGCTTCATTAAGGTGAAGTTTTTGCCTCCTAATACCACTCCTCTCCTGCAGCCCATGGACCAGCAGGTTATTGCAAACTTCAAAAAACTGTACACAAAAGCTCTGTTTGAAAGGTGCTTTGTAGTGACCTCAGAAACTCAACTGACTCTAAGAGAGTTTTGGAGAGAGCACTTTAATATCCTCAATTGTGTAAACCTTATAGGTAAGGCTTGGGAGGGAGTGACTAAGAAGACCTTGAACTCTGCTTGGAAGAAACTGTGGCCAGAATGTGTAGACCAAAGGGATTTTGAAGGGTTTGAGGCTAACCCTGAGAGGAGTATACCAGTTGAGGAATCAATTGTGGCATTGGGGAAGTCCTTGGGGTTGGAGGTTAGTGGGGAGGATGTGGAAGAGTTGGTGGAGGACGACAATGAAGAACTAACCACTGATGAGCTGATAGATCAACTTCAAGAGCAAGAGGCCAGACCTGAGGAAACTGGTTCAAAGGAGGGGAGAGAGAAATTGAAGGAATTGCCTACTACAAAGATTAAGGAAATGTGTGCAAAATGGCTTGAAGTGCAAACCTTTTTTGATGAAAATCACCCTCACACAGCTATTGCAAGCCGTGTTGGCAACCTGTACACTGACAATGTTGTGAAACACTTTAGGGAAGTCATAAAGGAACGAGAGGTACAGGCCACTATGGACAGATATGTTGTGCGAAAGAAGTCCAGTGACTCTGAAGCTGGTCCTAGTGGCATTAAAAGAAGGGAAGTAACCCCAGAAAAGGACTCGACACCTCAAGTCTTAATGGAAGGGGATTCCCCTTCTAAACACTAACACTCTCTCTCCCCTCCTCCCATTCCATCAATCATCACCAGATCTTCAATAAAAGTAAGTGTCATGTAAGTGTGCATGCCTTTTTCAGTTTGTGTGTATTAAAATTAACATTTCATGTGGTAAAAAATTTTTTTTTTCATACTTTTGGGTGTCTTGCACGGATTAATTTTATTTCCATTATTTCTTATGGGGAAAATTCATTCACATACCGATTATTTCGCATAACAATTACCCCTCTTGCACGGATTAAAATCATTATGCGGGGGTCCACTGTATATTCAAATTAATGTTTATAGAGAACCAAAGTTCTGAAACATTATCAAGCTCTGGTTAGTAAATAAATATTTAGGCACAGATACAGAGTATAATTATCATACCTAATAACAAGTGTAAATTACCTAGGATAACCCAAGAATATCAGACAAATTAACATTTCCATCAGGGTCCTTGTAACAAGAACAGTTCTATACCATGACATGTATTATAAATCCAAGATTTTTTTTCAGATACACAATACAATGTTAACAAGACAATATGCAGTTTATGGCATTTTATTGAGAAAATACCATAAACTGTATGCTGTCTTATTAAGACAAGATTTCATTTGGATTTTTAACCCTGGAGGGTTAGCCACCCAGGATAACCCAAGAAAGTCAGTGCGTCATCGAGGACTGACTTATTTCCATTGGGGTCCTCAAGCTTGTCCCCCAGGATGCGACCCACACCAGTCGACTAACACCCAAATACCTATTTGCTGCTAGGTGAACAGGACAACAGGTGTAAGGAAACACATAAAAATGTTTCTACCCCACTGGGAATCGAACCCGGGCCCTCCGTGTGTGAAGCGAGAACTTGGCCAGCCAGGCCGCGGGGTCACCCACATGTCAGTATATTCTACCACTGATATGAATGTAACAGAAACCTCATGTTTAATGACCTGTTATTTTACCACAATTATTTCTATTAAAATTATGTATAGAAATTCTGACAACCTCATTCATTAGCACTGTACTTTATATAATAACACTCAACTCTATTATTATAACTGTCACATCACTAATAATGTGAGAAATCATGAAAGTGCTCAGAAGCTGACCTATATTTTTGTGGCCCTAAAGTTTGAACTGTTATGGGATCACCTTCACAACCACCAATGGCTACCCTACATCATACTTTAATAAACTTGTAATTTTTAACTATTGTTTTGTATTGAATTACACTATATAATATAAAAAAAAAAAACCTTCATGCAACAGACTCAAATTTTTTAAACAAAGTGGACTAAAGTTGCTTCAGGAGCCCCGCCGGGTTTAGGGGCTCTGAAGCCTAAGCTTCATAAGTTTCATAGTAGATCTTCCCCTGCTGGGAAGTTCACTATTTCTTTTTTTTTTCACAGTGGCTGTTTTGCATATTGTGCTATCACCTGTTTACTGTGATCTTATTGCATTACTAATATATTATATTTATTTTGCAGGCAACATGATTGGCATGGTTGGTCCAGACACACTGTGTGGAGCAGAGTGCTTCGTGGGTCCAGAAGTCGGTGAAGGGAACACCCCAGACCACGCACTGCTGTACCGAGGTGGTGTAGTCACCTTCATCCAGGCCAATTATGCTGATCTCATCTCCCGTGGTCTCATCCCCTACCCTTATTCCACACTGACTACTGAACATGCACTTGCTGTCACTCGTGCTCTTGCCACTTTGCATGCTCACACTCTCCTAGAGCAGGCAAAACAGAATAAAAAATCTAATGCAGCCTCACCATTTCAGATTAAAAGAAATGAAAATGAATTTCAATCAGCAGCATCTGTTACTATAGATGGAGCAGAGGGAGGAGAATGTGGTACTGAGGAATATGTTGAGGCAGGCAGTGGTAGGCATGTGTCAAGAGGCTGCGTCAAGGATAAGTGGACGGCACAAATATCACAGTTACATACTGTCGAGTCTAATTTATCAATTATGGTGGATAATTTAAAGAACTCTGGCAGTAATGAGAGGACTGTTCGACGCTTGGAGGCGCTGCATTCTGACCTTTCAACACTGACACAGTTTCTGCAGTTTGCCTCTGCCATGCAGACCTGCAGAATACCCAGTGTGGGTCCCATATGTGGCAGAGATATTTGGATCAGATCACAGGAACTGGAAGAGGAGGAGGATATGATAATTATAAGACTGAGAGGCAGTCAAGAACTGGAATCTCCTCCACTTCGTGATGCCGCATGGATCTGGCTCACTCTGCTCAGAGGAGACACATTACGTGACCGTTACATGGAGCTCTGTGATGATTACTGCAATACCTTTAATAAGGTTCTCTTTCGCCAAGAGGCAGCATCCGAGGTGGAGGAAATCTCTTACTTTGATGTGATGCGTGATTTAGGGGAAAATTTCTTACATGCATTCATGACTATAATACACAAATTTGTTGTGTCTGGCACTTGGTTCTTTGATCGTCAACTCCATACTGAAGAAGGACTTCAAGAACTGGTGGAAGTAATAAGCTTTTTGATAGATAATGGAATTGTTGGATCAATTTTTGTCATTTGATGATTGCTTAGTATTCCTCAGATAATTCACAAGATAGAGGCCCAGATGTGAAATTCAGACCAAGTCTCCTGAGATAGCAAGCAGTGCTTATAATAGGCAGTCTTTAACCCACAAACCTCACCCTAAAAGACATTATCACTTCAGATGTCAAAATAATGTCACAGACTACTAGTGTTCACACTTCTGAAGGCTGATGTTTTTAAGAAATCTGTTAAGAACATTATTAAACATAAAAGGTAAATTAACTGTCAGCACACCACTGACTTAGTCTTATTAAGAATAATACAAAAATAATACAGGCATGCCTCATTAATACGGTGTTTGCTTTAGAGCGCTTTTATTTTTGTTTTTTTACAAAGGATTCTACAAGTTAAGGTTCCTAACTTTTTTACAAGCTAAGAGCTGTTACCTATGTCATCTTTTCAGTTATAGTAGGACCCCGGCTTACAATATTATTTCATTCCAGAAGTACGTTCAGGTGCCAGTACTGAACGAATTTGTTCCCATAAGGAATATTGTGAATTAGATTAGTCCATTTCAGACACCCAAACATACACGTACAAACGCACTTACATAAATACACTTACATAATTGGTCGCATTGGGAGGTGATCGTAAAGCGGGGGTCCACTGTACATTCATATCTATTATTTTCATAGCTTGCCTTGCTCTTAAGATGGTTTTCAGTCATTTAAATAAAATGATCTAAATTTGCTTTTGCTTCATTTTTTTAGGCCTAGTCCTATTGCACACTTAATAAAAGATAGTGTAAACAAGTTTTAGGCTTTTATATGCACTTGTAAGTGAAAAAAAAGGCTGTGATTTGATTTAAGGTGATATTTGCTTTATGGCAGCGGTCTGGAGCCTAACCTGCCATATTAGTGAGGTATGCCTGTACGTTAAGAGAAAAAGCTTATTCCTGAACTTTTTTTATTCAGTTGAACAGATTAAAACAATGAGAAGCAGCAGGAATTAGGCAGGACTGAAATGACCCTCAGATTTTTGACAAGGACAATGACCAGGGGCAAGAATCATGCAGAATTGAACCCCTGTATCACTGAGGATTTACAAGATTCTGAACAACATTCCATTGGTCTAAGGTGTATGATGGAAACTAATGTACCAACCTTACATTAAGTACTGTGTATTTTGAACTAATATTGTATCTCATATTATATAGTACGCACAAAGCATATTTAACATGTAGCTCTGAGGTACGTTAGTACACTGCGGCAGCTTTGAGTCAATTTCCTACTGATGCACACGTCAGCTTATTAGATATTTATCATATTTAAGGACAGATTTCAGTATTATTAACTTGGGCCTTACAACAGATGTTTAATCCAGTATTATTATATTTAGGAAGCCATTGTCTAATATAATAATAATGATACTCTCACCTTGAAACACGTATAAAAATGCATACTATAGCAATACGAACTGTAAACTAGTAGAAAATAACACGAGTATATAAAATACAGGCGTCCCTCGACTTGCAATGGGGTTATGTTCTGACAAACCCATAGTAAGTCAAAAATATCGTAAGTCAAATTGGATTTTGCCAAATAATAAATAACTACATCACTCAATAAATAAACAAATAATTACTGTAAACCAGCACTGAAAAGTACGTAAATACTAAATACAAGTTACAGACTTACTGCCTTCATGCTGGGTAATTATCTAAAGTTTCATTTCCAGAGTAATTGCTTCTGCACCACTGTAAAGTCAAAATATTACAAGTCAAACCATAAGTCAAGGAGTATCTGTGCTTAATATACTGTATACACCTATGTTCTCACTGACTGGAGTACATGTTCAGTGGTATTCTTGGGCATACAGCGAACAACCAGCCACTGAGGGTGTCAACTGGTGGTGAAGGGCATCACAACACATTCATTTTTCCTTTTCTGTAGACAGCTTGCTCTTCCTTGAAGCCCAGAATAAATTAACGAGTTGCCTGTTAATTTAAAGCCAGTGTGTGTCTGGTGACTATTACTGTGGCAGAGTTTAAGCACCAGGGGGATTAAGTGCTATTGACAAGGGGTATAACACCTTTGTATGACCTTGCCAAAGACACCAAAATTGCCAGGACCACCACTGCATACATGCACTATGTATATTTATGCATGTACTTATACACACATGCTTACAGCAACCCACACCTTAAAAGAGAAATAAACCTCAGCCTAGGTTGAGGGACTGATTACCTCATTCTCCTCCTGTTCAAGCTTCTCCTGTGTATGGACTGATGAAGCCACTGTGTGGCAAAACGTTTCCTTAATAAAGATACCCAAGAGTTGCACGTGTCTAATTTATCAACGTGTTGGTTCTGTGACCATTCATTTATAATGCTAGTGTACTAGAAAAAACATTATTAACATTGTGTCAAATTTTTTTATGCAGGTCAATATTCTGGAAATTTGTATACTGTATCTGATGAATTTATAATAATAATAATAACAATTTCAACTCCACGGGGAAAAGTACAACAGAATTCTTCTGTAAGCCATACGTGTCGTAAGAGGCGACTAAAATGCCGGGAACAAGGGGCTAGTAACCCCTTCTCCTGTATAAATTACTAAATTTAAAAAGAAAAACTCATTTTTCTTTTTATGTCACCCTGCCTTGGTGGGAGTTGACCAGTTTGTCGAAAAAAAAAAAAATTTAAACCAGGGTACAGTGGACCCCTGGTTTACGATATTTCATTCCAGAAGTACGTTCAGGTGCCAGTACTGACCGAATTTGTTCCCATAAGGAATATTGTGAATTAGATTAGTCCATTTCAGACCCCCAAACATACACACACAAACGCACTTACATAAATACACTTACATAATTGGTCCCATTGGGAGCTGATCGTAAACCGGGGGTCCACTGTACAAGCAAGTTTATTCAGGTATACACAAATACAGTTACACAGATCATCATACATAGCAGTATATGTGTAGAGAACATTAATTTAAAAACACACAGTATGCACAGAATTTCTTGCAAACAGACTACAACAAGTTACAAGATTATTCTTTAAAGAGAAACAAATTGTGTATTTCTCTCCCTCTCATAACAAAAAAAGGCACAATACCGTGGCTGGAATGATACACAAATAACCCGCACATAGAAGAGAGGAGCTTACGACAACGTTTCGGTCCGACTTGGACCACTGACAAAGTCACACAGTGTGACTTTGTAAATGGTCCAAGTCGGACCGAAACGTCGTCATAAGCTCCTCTCTTCTATGTGCGGGTTATTTGTGTATCTCCCTCTCAATTTTTTTTTAAATGTCTCTTCCTGTTAATGTTTTAAATAAAAAATATCAACCATAAATTGCATCAATATACTTTATGAAAGGTGATGGAATGTCATTTGTAAATTCATTCATTCATTGCACCAACTGTGAGAGTTGTCAATAGTGATAGCACAATAAAACATTTTTTCAACCTTGGTACTTTCATTTCACCCATATTATTTTATGTAAATGGTTTATCTCCATGGGGAAGTGGAGAAGAATAATTCTTCCGTGAGTCATGCGTGTCGTAAGAGGCGACTAAAATGCCAGGAGCAAGGGGCTAGTAACCCCTTCTCCTGTATACATTACTAAATGTAAAAGAGAAGAAACACTAACAACGTTTCGGTCCTGGGACCAGAAAAAATGATCAAGATTCCAGGACCGAAGCGTTTTCTAATGTCTTAGTGTTTGTACATGTGTCTTGATTAACCAACTTGTCAGTATAAATTACCAAGTTTTTTAACACACAGACAGCCGAGAAATCACGGAACTTATGCATCCTTCTTTTTTGAGTCATCCCGCCTCAGTGGGAGATGACCACCTCTGGCAAGGCAGTGATAGTTCAAATAATGGTGAAAGCATTTCTTTTTCAGGTCACCCTGCCTGAGTGGGAGATGGCCAGTTTGTTAAAAAATAATATGTAATGCATATGAAGTAGGAAAAAATAACGAGGAACACAGTACTAATAACTATATTAAAATTATCTAGTTATTTCAAAATAAATTTTATAATAAAACTTCCATTAGAAGTGAAATTAGTAACCTGAATTAATATGAATGCGATGACATAGTTTTTTACATATATGTCTGTAACACATCAACGATATTCGCAGTAAAATATATTCAGTAAGAATAATTCAAAAATTTTTTTTTTTCAACTAATCGGCCTTATCCCACCAAAGCAAGGTGGCCCAAAAAGAAAAAAAAAAAAAAAAAAAGTCTTTTTAAATTTAGTAATTTATACAGGAATAAATATGTTGCATATTTCAGTAACACATCAAAATTCTATCAACTGATACCAAGAAACATCCAATACAACTAAAAAAAACCCATCCTAGAAAATACTTAAAAGTAGCTATTTTAAACCAAATACAAGGTCCGAGGTTTGCTTTTCCCATCATGCACTGTGAGGGGGAAGACTTCATAATACTGCGCACACTCACCACACACACCCATTCTCTGATATCTGACAAAATTTACTGATCGAAGCATACACAAGAACACTGTTCTTGAAGAGTAGATTTACACGAGTGACCTGGCATCAATCATGTATATCTATTAGAGACAGTGAAAGGGCTAAGAGAAATGCATCTTTCATTACTAATAGCAAGAGTTATAGATGCAACAGAATTAAAGGTAAGTGGTTTTGATGAACTGACATACTAATGAACTGTGAGCAAGGTAACATTTACACAAAGATTCAAGGAAACTGGTTAGTCAGACTTCAGTCCTGGAGGTTGGAAGAACAGTGCCTGCACTCTAAAGGAGAGGAAAGTGGAACAGAATTCTTCCTCTAAGCCATGCGTGCCGTAAGAGGTGACTAACATGCCGGGATCAAGAAGCTAGATGTCCCTTCTCTTGCATATATTACTCTTGTATATATTACTAAGAAGAGAAGCTTTCGTTTCTCTTTTTGGGCCATCCGGCCTCTGTACGATATGGCCGGTTTGTTGAAAGATGATGACAATGACATTATCTGACAAGATGTATGTCTTCAGGTCCAGCAGTTTCAAGCTGACACATTAACAGTGCTGTAGTAAATTCAACAGAGGTAAATGAAGAATAAGATTCATCCATGCAGAAGTTAAGTTTGAAGTTGTAGATTCTTTACAGGACTTGAAGAAAATCAGATGTGTAGCCCACGAGACCAGGGAAAAATTATTTTTCTATTGTGTTAGTATCTTCCTCCATTAATACCATACCAGCACTGGCAATGGCTGGAGCCAGTTCAGGCCTGCCAATTACTGCACCTTTTATCCACACTGCCTTCTTAGTGGTGGCCTTTTAAGTTGAAATATAAGCATATGTACTAACAAGCATGCTTGTCAGCTCCTGAAACATGTCAGCCATGTGCTTTTAAGAACATAAGAAAGGAGGAACACTGCAGCAGGCCTGTTGGCCCATACTAGGCAGGTCCTTTACAATTCATCCCACTAACAAAACATTTGCCCAACCCAATTTTCAATGCTACTCAAGAAATAAGCTCCGATGTGCAAGTCCCACTCAAATCCAACCCCTCCCACTCATGTACTTGTCCAACCTAAATTTGAAACTACCCAAAGTCCTAGCCTCAATAACCCAACTAGGTAGACTGTTCCACTCATCAACTACCCTATTTCCAAACCAATACTTTCCCATGTCCTTTCTAAATCTAAACTTATCTAATTTAAATCCATTACTGCGGGTTCTCTCTTGGAGAGATATCCTCAAGACCTTATTGATATCCCCTTTATTAATACCTATCTTCCACTTATAGACTTCGATCAGGTCTCCCCTCATTCTTCGTCTAACAAGAGAATGTAATTTAAGAGTCTTCAATCTTTCTTCATAAGGAAGATTTCTAATGCTATGTATTAATTTAGTCATCCTACGCTGAATGTTTTCTAACGAATTTATGTCCATTCTGTAATATGCTTGTTTGAAGTCTAAATAGTGAGCAGTAGTACAATTATATTGATCCAGCCCCTTGTAGCATTTACGAGTTGAATGAACCTAGCACAATCTGGTGACTATCATGGTATGCATTTAAGAAACTGCTTACCTCATGGTCAACAATCCAATCCGTGTGACTGGCCAAGACTGAACAAATCTAGACAAAAGGGAAAATATCTCCACCAATCATGCCAAAAGAGTTGCTGGGTTGTTAGTCTGGCAAGCATCATGTGAGGAGTGACACCATTCCTAGAAAAGAGGCCCCCCTCTACTCCAAGGCATAAATCACAAACCTCACCACATATATATCACACACACACAGGATAATGAAATATCTCTTCTTTCAACAAACTAGCTATATCCCATTGAAGCAGGGTGGCCCAAAAAGAAAAATAAGTTTTTCTTAACTTCAGCAATGTATACAGAAGGGGTTACTAGCCCCTTGCTCCCAGCATGTTAGTCACCTCTTATGACACGCAGGGCTTACAGAAGAATTCTGTTCCGCTTCCCCGTAGAGATAAGAGGAAACAAACAAGAACTAGTAAGAAAATAGAAGAAAACCCAGAGGGGTGTGTATATATATATGCTTGTACATGTATGTGTAGTGTGACCTAAGTGTAAGTAGAAGTAGCAATATGTACCTGAAATCTTGCATGTTTATGAGACAGAAAAAAAGACACCAGCAATCCTACCATCTTGTAAAACAATTACAGGCTTCCATATTACACTCACTTGGCAGGACAGTAGTACCTCCCTGGGTGGTTGCTGTCTACCAACTTATTACCAGAGGATGGCAGTATCTCCCTGGGTGGTTGCTGTCTATTAACCTACTACCAGAGGACGGTAGTACCTCCCTGGGCGGTGTTGTCTACCAAACTACTACCAGAGGATGGTAGTACCTCCCTGGGCAGTTGCTGTCTACCAACCTACTACAAGAGGATGATAGTACCTCCTTGGGTAGTTGCTGTCTACCAACCTACTACCAGAGGATGGTAGTACCTCCTTGGGTAGTTGCTGTCTACCAACCTTTTACCAGAGAATGGTTGTACCTCCCTGGGCAGTTGCTATCTACCAAACTACTACCAGAGGATGGTAGTACCTCCTTGGGTAGTTGCTGTCTACCAACCTACTACCAGAGGATGGTAGTACCTCCTTGGGTAGTTGCTGTCTACCAACCTTTTACCAGAGAATGGTTGTACCTCCCTGGGCAGTTGCTATCTACCAAACTACTACCAGAGGATGGTAGTACCTCCTTGGGTAGTTGCTGTCTACCAACCTTTTACCAGAGAACGGTTGTACCTCCCTGGGCAGTTGCTGTCTACCAACCTTCTACCAGAGGATGGTAATACCTCCCTGGGCAGTTGCTGTTTACCAACCTACTACCAGAGGATGGTAGTACCTCCCTGGGCAGTTGCTGTCTACCAACCTACTACCAGAGGATGGTAGTACTTCCCTGGGTGGTTGCTGTCTACCAACCATTTACCAGAGGATGGTTGTATCTCCCTGGGCAGTTGCTGTCTACCAACCTACTACCAGACGATGGTAGTACCTCCCTTGGTGGTTGCTGTCTACCAACCATTTACCAGAGAATGGTAATACCTTCCTGGGCAGTTGCTATCTACAAACCTACTACCAGAGGATGGTAGTACCTTCCTGGGCAGTTGCTATCTACAAACCTACTACCAGAGGATGGTAGTACCTTCCTGGGCAGTTGCTATCTACAAACCTACTACCAGAGGATGGTAGTACCTTCCTGGGCAGTTGCTGTCTACCAACCTACTACCAGAGAATGGTAGTACCTCCCTGGGCAGTTGCTATCTACGAACCTACTACCAGAGGATGGTACTACCTTCCTGGGCAGTTGCTATCTACCAGCCTACTACCAGAGGATGGTAGTACCTTCCTGGGCAGTTGCTATCTACCAGCCTACTACCAGAGGATGGTAGTACCTTCCTGGGCAGTTGCTATCTACCAGCCTACTACCAGAGGATGGTAGTACCTTCCTGGGCAGTTGCTATCTACCAGCCTACTACCAGAGGATGGTAGTACCTTCCTGGGCAGTTGCTATCTACCAACCTATTACCAGAGGATGGTAGTACCTTACTGGGCAGCTGCTATCTACCAACCTACTACCAGAGGATGGTAGTACCTTCCTGGGCAGTTGCTATCTACCAGCCTACTACCAGAGGATGGTAGTACCTTCCTGGGCAGT